GTGTCCCTCAGTCACTTACGAGCAACTTACGGGTTTTCTCTGAGTTCCATCGTTTGCATACTATTTCCACACAACTCAAAGCGTACGTTGCTCTCACAGAAGTCAGGTGAGATCAGTGCGGCACCTGACCGGGAACTCATCTATCAGGTCACATTGCATTCTTATAGCATGACGGAGTGACCGCTCGTAGGTTCATCTTATGAACCTCAACTGTGTTCAGTTTATATCAACTGAGCTGACCGAGCTTTACTACGGGTCCAAACTTTGAACCATTTAAACTCGTCAAAATGTGGTTTTTTCTCTGGTGCAAACCCATTTGGGCTGCGATTGGTTGGTCAATTGCTCATGCCACGCCCATACAGCATTCATAATGTCAAAAGTAGCAAAAACAGTTCATTGACAATTCTCGCAAGCTGAAGCGCTACTTTAGCTTGAGCAGGTTCAGAACATCGCAAAAGAGAACCTTATCTTCTAGGACACTTTTTCAGCCGTCATTTCAGAAATTCGTAAGCAACTCACATGCAGCATTGCCGCCAACTGATGTCCAAAACGACTCGTCTGGTATCCATGTATGTGAGAGATACTTCAGAAGCCTTCTCACTTTCGTGCTTCTAACTATATAATTGGCAGCAGCTCTAGGCATTGCCACTGACATCGCTGATTTGAAGAGGGGAACGGGGGGATGAATTCCCTAAAACCAATAATCCATATTTCAACACATGCGATCAGGCCCTTTCAGGATTTCTACCGTTTCGGACATACGACCAGGTTTCAACTTCTTCGTATGTTTTATTCGACCATCGAGAGTCGCATGGTTCAAAAGATGGTATTTTCACCAGAGCCAGTTCACCGCAACTTGCAATGATCGAAGGTACGACCCACCAGTGGGCCTTATTGCTCGAAATGACAGTACAAATACGACCCACCGGTGAGTCGTGTTGTCCGATGTGTTAATATCTTATGTGAAAGAGTGCTAATTCACCTCCATTGTTCTGTATCGGTCCAAGTCAAACTCCTCAACATCCGTATTAATCGATCCATTCAACGCTTTCATTATGCGAACCATTTCGAGATTTGTACGAATCGGCAGATCCGAACCGGATAAGTACTGGAAGCAAAGAGAAACTTTGGAAATGACTCTGCATGGTTATGAGCAAACCTGATAGTATTTCCAATTATGTTTACGAAGAGTCAGATATTTAAAACATTGATAGACGTTGTCAAGTATACCAAAAGTACCCCAGTCAGAATGTTGCCCTATCTAAAATAACATTTTCAATTTAAAGCGTAATTCTCTTGGTCACGTTTTCTTTTGATAAAGGGAACAGAATTTGTAATTTCTTTTGTAAATAAGCAAAAATAGCAGTTGGTCTACATATGCTCCGCAATCTAAAGAAAAATAAACAAACAAAAATACACACCATAGTATGGACATTATTAAAGCATTTCGGCATCTTCATAATGAA